AAAAAAAAATCAACGGTTTACCATAGAATCCTTCATCCAACAAAGATGCACTTCTGTACGTATGATGCACGATCCTTCGCAGTAGATAGCGCTATTTATGCAATAGCGCTATCTAGACAATGGCTAATTATCTACCAAGAAGTTGTCCGTGGTGTAATATAATTCCCCCATAGACATCAATCCAGCTCCAGCTGGCCACAAAATACAACAGCGTCCAGTTAGAGAAAAGATTTAACTTTTTACAGTAGCATTCCACTTATCCAACAGAGATGCCCCCCCCCCCTGTAAAGACGGACAATGGCTAATTATTTATCAAGAGATCGTCCGTGGTGCAATAAAACTCCCTCTAAATATCCTTTCAGCTCCAGTTGGTTGTAAAACATAACAAAGTCCAGTTTGAAAAGAATATTTACTGTGTCTAATAGAATCCCGCTGATCCAAAATCGATGCACCCCTGTCAGGAACGACAATGGCTAATAATCTGCTTGGAGTTTGTCCGTGGGGTATTATTATTCACTCTAAACAACCTTTCAGCCTTAGTTAGCCGTTGGCAACCTGCTCTGAACAAAAGTGCTTCACACCTCAAAAGAAGACTAATCGAAGCCAGTTTTAAAAACCACGAGTACTTTTAACCAGGTATGTAAGTAACTTCTCTGCAGCTTATTGTAAAGTCGCTTTTTCAAATTAGAATTAAACTGTGCCAGGAGAAGTTAAGCGAAAACCCGTGCCTCATTAGAATTGGTTCACCATCTTTCTTCTTCCTGCAAAAGGTTTAATAAGCTCTAAAATAAAAAGAAAGAAAGGCTAAAGAGACCTAAGTTGTAATCCGCCGTTTCCGTTTCAATACACAATAATTAAGAGCTTGTCCACGAGAAAACCGGGTACAACTGGGCAGGGACGATAATACTCGAATCATCGATATGGCTTAAACTTGACTTAAAGGTATCTGGTCAGTTCGCCATAATAAAGAAACTCGCCACCACAAAAGTCACCACCACTCGAAGAGAAATCGCCATCGGTGGCGATTTCGCTTAAACGTTACGTGTAGCCTCTCATGCGAAACTTTAATAAAATGAAAGCTAAGATGTAGTAGTAAAGGGAATTAGAAGTTAGGTATGCCGTCTCAATAATGGAAAGTTATACGAAATAAAACATGTTGATATAACAAAGGTTATGATCAGTTGGCGAACAACAAAACCAGAGTGATATTTGCCGAGTGATATAAGCGATTTCCGCCGATATGAATGAAATCCTATGTAACTTACATCACATAAATGCTAACAAGTCGAAGTATAATGCGAATTTAAGCGAAGTTTACTCAAACCTTAAACTAGAGGTGTTAAAAACTATGCTAGCCTTCCCAGCAAAATTAAGAGTACCAAGAATGTAACTACCTCTGCATTAATGAACACTACATGGGCAGTGGTGAAAATAATTATAAGGCCTGAAAAAAAAAATCCAGGCCTCTTGGTACGGGATTTGAACCCATGACCTTTGCGAATGTCTTCACTTGAAAATGCAAAGCAGACTATCCACTAATGGCAACATACTCCATTCAAAATATTGAAGGGCACTGAAAATGGAGGGGTCATCTTCTCAGAGGTATTGGTTCAAAACAGATCTGTTGAGCCGTTTAAGTACAATCCATCCATGCCAAAATACAGGAAACTAATTCCCAACCTTTCAATCATTTGAACCAAATTAAGGCCCTAAAACATGATCAACTTGTCGGTCCCCAAAATATTAGCCACTCATCACCAGAAAACTACAAAACTGTAGTTACCACTCCAGAAAATCTTTTATTTTCCGCTTCAGAAGAGTCCGTCCTCAGTAAGGGCTTAAATTTTGTTCTCATTTCAAAAACGACGGCCGAATTCTCAGTTAAACAAGACGTAGAGAAATTCCTTCGCCGTGTTCAATTAAAAGCGTTTTTTCATGACAACTTGAGGAGGATGATTCTAACACCTCGAACAGAGACACTTTCGAAACATTTTAAGTTCCAAAGTCTAAATGGACTTCCCTATAGGGCCAGTTCGCATCATTAGATTTTTTCATCAAAAATGTCGCCACGATATTAACAAACTTAAATTCAAACGTAGCACCAAATTTTCCAATCTTTCTTCAGAAGAGTGGTCAGCAATAAAAAAGCCTAAAAAAAACGCAGACATTGTTATCAGAGCGGCCGACAAGGGTGGCGCAGTAGTCAGTTGTTTGTCGCACGATCTCTACCAAAAAAAATCTTTGCGGCAACTTTCTGACACCTCTTTTTATTCAGAAGGTTGACAAAGATCTCACTTCCCAGTAATCAAAACACTCTAAGAAAAAAATACGATTAACGAACTCATGGCTAAACAAGAATTTCGGGCCACTACAAAAAGCCTAATCACAACCACTCCTAGAACTTCTTGTATTTCCTTTTTACCTAAAATTCACAAACCTAACAACCCGAGTCGGCCCATTGTCTCGGCTTGCAATTGTCCCATCGAACTTACTTCCAGCTATTTAGACAAAACTATGGCTCCCATCGTCAACACTTTACCATCATATATTAAAGACAGCCAACATGCTCTTCATATTTTCGCAACTTTAATTTCCTTGGCCAAGACAAACTTCTTTTCACTATGGATATTACATCTCTTTACATTATCGTTCCCAATGGCGAAGGTCTTCAATTCTGGCCCTCAAACATTTTTTTTAATCAACGCACTGTTAAGGAACCTAGATCTGAAACACCACTTTGCCTAGCTGAACTAGTGCTTACGCTCAATTGTTTTTCATACGGGGACAACTTTTTCAAAGAAACTACTGGCGTAGCCATGGGTACCAAAATGGGACCCAGCTATGCCGATCTTTTTGTAAGTTTTGTCGAACAACAATTTTTATCTAATACAACGGCCCCAAACCTGAACTCTACGGTCGCTGCATTGACGACTGCATTGGCGCTACCTCCTCTATCAGAGAGGAGCTAACTCAATTCACAACCGCAGTCAATTCTTTTCACCCGGCTCTAAAATATACCTGGGAAATTTCCGACAATTCTTTATCCTCTTTAGACATCAAAGTTTCAATTGAAGGCAACGGTTTATGCATTAGTGTGTGTTACAAACCCACAGACTCACGCAGTTACTTGTTGTATTCATCTTCGCCTCCATTTCATGTCAAGAATTCCATTCTTTTTTCTCAATTTCT